TCTCCTTATAGTTACACCATCCTAGTCTAATAGTTACACTATCCTAGTCTAATAGTTACACTATCCTAGTCTAATAGTTACACCATCCTAGTCTAATAGTTACACCATCCTATCCTGATAGTTACACTATCCTAGTCTAATAGTTACACCATCCTCTCCTGATAGTTACACCATCCTCTCCTGATAGTTACACCATCCTAGTCTAATAGTTACACCATCCTATCCTGATAGTTACACCATTCTAGTCTAATAGTTACACTATCCTAGTCTAATAGTTACACCATCCTCTCCTGATAGTTACATCATCCTAGTCTAATAGTTACACCATCCTAGTCTAACAGTTACTCCATCCAGTTTTTTTGTCAATTTCGTCTATTATCTAACATGGTTTTAAAGGGTTGTAATCATCATGCCCATAACTGGACACAGACTGTTGATGTGTGGTTAAACTTCATGTATTATCTAACATGGTTTTAAAGGGTGGTAATCATCATGCCCATAACTGGACACAGACTGTTGATGTGTGGTTAAACTTCATGTATTATCTAACATGGTTTTAAAGGGTGGTAATCATCATGCCCATAACTGGACACAGACTGTTGATGTGTAGTTAAACGTAGGCTTATACGTTTTTTCATACTGACATGTGTTCATGTCTTCTTATTTTTGTACTAATTTTTACAACTTTTATTAATTAACTTTAGTTAATACTCAAATTTGTTAATAAAGTTTTACTAGCTGTTTTGTAATGCTGACTGTTATTGCCAACTGAGGATTGTTGTACTTTTTTTTATAAAAAATACTATATATCTATACATAATATAGAAGAGAAAATAACAGGTAACACCAGGATTCTTCTGTGATTTATTAACAGAAACCAAATTTTTCATACTGTTGCAGTTGAGGTAACATTGTTATTAAAATATCAATTGTATCTCAGAATTAATTTAAACATTCCAGACTAGAGGAGTGAAAACAGAACATCTTATTGTAATCACCAGTAGAAAACCTATATTTTAAAATATATTTTATAATCTTTTTGTATCGCACATTAGTTATGTATAAGTAAGGTGTTTGAGTTTACAATGTATTCTCATGAATTATTCAACAGATAAGCTGTTTAAGATACTAAACATAAATATGAAGGATTTAAAGAATACGTAGCACTGATGCTGTTGATGTATTCTCATGAATTATTCAACAGATAAGCTGTTTAAGATACTAAACATAAATATGAAGGATTTAAAGAATATGTAGCACTGATGTTGTTAATGTATTTACATGAATTATTCAACAGATAAGCTGTTTAAGATACTAAACATAAATATGAAGGATTTAAAGAATATGTAGCACTGATGCTGTTAATGTATTCTCATGAATTATTCAACAGATAAGCTGTTTAAGATACTAAACATAAATATGAAGCTCACTCTATTATTTGATTCCCCCCCCTTGTCGCTGAGTTACGTACACCTGGAAAACAAAACTTTAACCTGTGATACAAGAAGATAACACAGAACCTGGGGAAAAAACGACAACTTTACATGTGACACAAAAGGCCATATGTCATTCTGAAAATAAAACTTTAGCCTGTGATACAACAAGGCATCATAGTACCTGAAATGTAAAAACTTGGCATATAGAAGAAAGCCATAAAACAGCTAAAAAACAAACCCTTAACATTACATAAGAAGTCCATATAATCAATCAAAAAATAACACTTCAGCCTTTGACATAAGGGTCATACACACCAAAAAATACTAAACCTTAACCAAGCATTGGGAAAATAAAACTTGACATAAGAATGCCATACAATAATTTAGGCTGTTACACATAGTATGTGGAAAATAATACCTTTATCTGTGACACAATAAGGCCATATACCACTTGGAAAACAAAACTTTAAAATTAAACAAGAAGAATATGTAACACCTGTAAAATAACACCTTAAACTGTGACACAAGAAGGCCATATAGCACCTAAAAACACAACTATAGCTTGTGACACAAGAAGGCCATATAGCACCTAAAACCACAACTATAGCTTGTGACACAGGAAGGCAACATAGAATGTGGAGAATAACACCTTTATATGTGACACAATAAGGCCATATACCACTTGAAAACAAAACTTTAAACTTCAAGCAAGAAGAATATGTAACACCTGTAAAATAACACCTTAATCTGTGACACAAGAAGGGCACATAGCACTTAGGAAACACAAATAAATATGAAGCCCAATCTATCATTTGATTCATCTCTTGTCACTGACTTCTATTTGTTTTGGAGAACCCACACCTTTATCAATGGCTTCGGATGATGGAAAATCGAAATACAAGACCAGGCTTCTTATAATGGTGGAGCATATATCAAATGTAAAGTGGTTTGAGTTGTCTTTAATTTTTCACAGTAAACCTATATTTATATAGGAGTTACGGAATATGTAACACTGGTGTTACTAATTTATTCTTCTGAATTTCTAACTAGGCAAGCTATTTAGAATACTAAAAATAAACATAAGTCCTATTTTACAGATGACGGGGGAATTTCCCTAAACCAATCTGTGACATATGTAGGCCACCATAGAAGGCAACATAGAACCTGGGGAAAAACAACAATTTCCTTGTATCACAGGTTAAAGTTTTGTTTT